TGCGAGGCAGCGGTGCGAGGCCGCAGGCACCGAGCGCTGGGGCCCCAGCGCCCGCGAAATGCTTGACAATTGCCTCTGCCATGGAACAACTGCTGCTTATTCCATTTACTGTAGCCGTCTCATTATTACTTTGTTTATACCAGCGCAACTCAATCCAACTAATTACCATCATGAACCACAGCACACTAAGGCCCTGGCTGTAAAGAACTATCCAACTGCACTAGATGTAATCCGTCGTAAAACGTCCTCTGTTCATACCTACCAATTTTCAGAGATTACATCTGTGTAGCAAATCTACACCGAAGGCTTTATAGAGCTTTGAAGTACATACGCTGCAGTGGATTGCTCTAAAGCAGGCATGGCTTTAGGCTGTGGGCTCTTTTGGAGTAGGAACAGTCTTTGTTATACATACACATAGTATAAAACAGTGCAGACAGTCCTATAGTAAGATTAATGAAAACATCACAAAACACCAGCTACACGCTGCCACTGCTTTGGCTTCACCCAGGGAGGCCATTTTTCAGAAGTTTCCAGCCCATCTCAAGTTGCACATATTTCAGGACAAGGCAGGATCTCCTTATTTAAAACAACCACCAACCCTAAAGGAACAGCTCTGATGTTCAAGCTGTCTGCATGCTTGTCAACAAGACAAAGCGGGGAAGTGAGGCCAAATGCACTGCTGCTACAGCTTGGTCCAACTCAGAGCACTGACATTTCAGCTGTTTACATCTGCCAAATGATTTTTTTCCTGATAGTATGAAAAACCAGGTTGTTAAGTGATGCCCAAGCTTTGGGTTGGCCTACTGTGCAAAAGTGAAGGAATGGCGATACCTCTGGACGCATAAATCCACCAGCGAAGGGATGACGGTCAGCTTTCTGATAGCTCAGAGGAGGATTCTTTCGTCTGTTCCCAGGTCGACATCGCTCCTTAGCCCAGTTATCAACCTCTCTTGTTTGCGTACACCACGTATCCCAAAGCTATTCCATCGTTAGGGAATAATAATAAAGAGCTTAATTCACACATTGCAGCTTAGCACATCACCACAATATCATCTTCCACACTATACTGTGCTGATCAAGCATCTGAATAATCCAGCCCCTACAGCAAACGCCGCATCGCATTCCTACAGCCGCATAGTCCAAGCACTAAACCCTGAACTGGTAGCACTGGGGAGGACGGTGAGAGGATCATCTTCGTAGGACAGGGCCAACCTAACAGCAAGCCAGGATTAAAAGGATTAAGTTTAAAAATAAAACCTGTTGATTGTGAAGGCACAACTGAGCCCTACGAAGCATAGAGCCATTTGCACCCAGGAGGAACCGTTTTCATCGAGCAGCCTCACTTTTTGCATAACACTGACCACAAAATTTCACCTAGTGATTTGCATCAACGTTGTGACCAGCAACAGCATGGTAACATTCACGTGCACTTTGAGTCCAGGGTACAAAAATATCATTTTATTGGAAAATAATTAAGCTTTATGCCACTTTCACCATCTGCAAATGGTGAGCTGTAACAGCTAACGGCCTCACGAAACAGAAGCAGAGGACAGGGATGCTGTATTTTGCAGCTGGGAGATTCAGCAGCCGCGTGTGGCCGGCGGGGAGAGCCCTCCTGCTCCCTGCACCGCCTCGCGAGCTCCCGCGCAGCTCCCCAGGGGCCCCCCACCCCTGCTCGCTGCTGCTGGGGGTCCGCAGGGACCTGGCTCTTCTGCGACTCCGTTATCAATCGAGATCGAGGGTAGCTGTAAGGATTAACCAAGCTCCCCACCTCCTGTTAATCCCCTGTTCTGCTGGTAAGTACAAAGGCCATTTGTTAAGCACCTAAAAAGCAGTCCAATTGGCAGAGGTCCTGGGTGTCTGCTTCGAGTCCAGGGACATTTGGAGACCCCCCAGAACTTCCGAAAAACCAGGGCACCACTCTTGAAACAATATTTAATGTCTCTCCCTAATAATACATTGTTTTCAGCAAATCAAAGAGCAGATGTCCACATTACACTATGTGAATTATAAATGTCTATGAAGGTGGTATCAGTCAAGACATTGCACTTGGTTATAGGAAGTCCTGTGCAAATCACCTCATTTGTGTGCCCTGTTTCCACATCTGAGAGAGGGGGATAACAATACATTGTGCTGTGAGGTGCACAGCCACTCTGAGTTATTATGGGAGCCATATAAGTCACTATAAATACCTAAAGAATGAGGACATTTAGAGTTGCACTAATAAAATACAAAGGCTATATAAGCCTTTGTTTTAGAGATGAAGGCTTGAGATAACTACAGGAGGCTGAAAAATCCTCCCAGACCTTCTTTCACAGTCACTGATGTTCCCCTGAAGATTGAGGCACATTTATGGGGTGGGAAGGCAGCATGTGGACCTTCAGAGCTTTCAAACTGGTTACCAGTTGAACTTGACATTCATGGGGAGAAGGTTATATTTTTAAAAACTGGCAGCAGGGCTTTTGAGATCGCCTTCAAGTTCAAATTAGGCCAGTTTGGAGAGATCACAGATAGGTCATTTTACTCCCCCTGGCCCAGTATCTTGGCTTTCTCTTGAACTCAGGCTGTTTCAAGTCCTGCCAGAGCAGTGCAAAGAGGCTTTAGAATAAATCTGTACCAGGCTTCCCCTGCTAGGAACACTCACTCATCAGCCCAAGCCCTCTACCTACGGTGAAAAGGTGCTCAGCTCCAGCACAGTCGTGACCTCCTATTTGCAGAGGCTTTCCTGCAAGCTCCAGCGCAGGCAGATGGAGGCAAAACAGATGTGTGAATCAGAAATCTTAAGGAAGGAGGAAGACCTAACCCCTGCACAGGCAGAGCTGCAAAGCCCTTCTGGAATAAGGAACTTCCCTTTAGGTTAAAGGGTTTGTTTCCGTGGGCAGCTGCAGCTGGCAAGTCTCTGCCAGCACAGCCCCAGGCCAGGGAAAGGATAGGAAGAAGCAGGAGACAGAAACAGAAGCACAGAGCTCCACCTGGTTGTACCTTGCTCCTCAAGCAGTGGTCTTCAGCCTTTCCAGGTTTGTGGACCCCTAACATTTTTCCCAAGGGGGTGCAGAAGGTTTGCTCTCTTGGTTATTTTCCCAGACCTTTCAGAAGGAGCCCATGACACCTCTCTCCACTTACCACAGATGGAGAACTACCCTAGAGGATTTTCGAGACTCCTGCAGATCTCTGCGGATGAAGAGCCTTCTGAGGGGCTAATCCCCTTTCTCCTCCAGGGCAGCACCCATCCCTGTGCAGGTTAACTTCAACAAGGACAATGAAGGAACTTCGTGTAGTGTTTTCCCCATGCTGTGCTGATGAGGCAAGGAATGAAGTGGTGAGGAAAGCTGGCAATAATCCTATCTCACTGCTATTATCATCTCTACCCTGTATATCACGCAGGCTGCAAAAGGGAGGCACCTTGGGCAAAAAATACCATGAAAAGCATTTTGCTACCCCGACCTTGTCAAACAAGGTCTGTTCCTGGTGAGGTTTCCTTTCTCCGAATCAGCTGTTTTCTGAACGAATGGACCCACGCCCTTTCACTGGGTACTTCCGCAGGTTAAAAATTGACTAAATGCACTGATATCTTGAGCCCCTCTAGCTGCAGCAGCTTCATCAAAGTCATGATCAACTGCATTTATTGAGCCACACGTGCAAGAGAAGGATCAAGACAAATGGCAAGTCTGTGCCGGTAACCGCAGAGCCTGCCTGCCCAGTGCGGCCCTTCACGCGTCACAGCTATCCTGACAGAGAAGCTGTCCGGCTCCTATTTACCATTTCAAATAGGCCTTTTTCCCACCCCCAACAGAAAAAGGCAATAAAAAAAATCAGACCACTAGACAGAGCTGCTTTTAGACTGGTGACAATCATGTGCTTCAAAGAATGGAAAAGCATGTGCCATAGTGCACCTGGAAAACCAGGAAAGCCTCTAAATGCTCATTTTTCTTTTTTGTCAATGAAAAGAATGAATTTAATTACAGTCCTCAGTAGCAGACTTACAGAACTTTTTCCTGTCATTTGTACGCATCTAATGCATGAAAATCTGATTAACTACATACTTCAGCAGTAGCCTTTGTAAGTGAAGCTCACAGGTTTGTCATGAATGTGTTTGTGTGCTGCAAAATGGTATATTTAACTTTGAAGGCCTCCCCCCTCCTTTCATTATGCTAAATTATAAAATTGTTTGAGTGGTCTCATGTCAGTTATTTATGGACAAGAGAAATACAATGCTAGTCAACTGCATTTTTCCGAGTCAGTATAAACTATGTAATTTACATTAACCATTTAGAGCCAGACTTTTAAAGCTACTTACACATTAAAGATGCATGAAAGTCCTGATAGGATTCTCATAAGTGCCTCAGCCTCTGCAGTCAAGTGATGCTAACTCTCCAGTTCCCCGACTGTAATGTTTTGCACTTGCTATTTTGTCTAAGCGACAGCAATTCCCACTCTGGCACATGCAACAAGTCTCCTCTTTATTTCGACACGCCCTCAGCCTTTCTGGGAACATGCTCTGCCTTTTTCCACTGACTTCGCCCCAAATTGCGATGACGGGAAAGGAACGCACTTAAGCAATGTAGACCCATTTTGGGCATAAGTAGCTTTGGTTCTACAGTCACTCTCATGGACAATGTTCAAGCACAGGCCTGAGTTATATGCATTAAATGTATCATTTGCAACGCAAATTCTGACAACCATACGTATAAACCACAAAAGTGAGTTCCAAAGAGCTTTCACATGCACAGCAGGACCCCGCAAATTCTCCTCAAAACGAACTGGCCTAGTTTCATAACGCAGTTTCTCCCACTGCCACACTTTCCCACTCAGGACTCTGTTGCACAATGATTTAACCAGGCTGCACCTATCCGAGGTGTTGTGCACTGGAACAACTGCAAAGGTATGTTAAGGACTTACCTCATGTCATTCTTCTGGGTTTCACTCCTATTAGTTTTACTATATAGGAATTCCTATTAATATTACTATATGAAAAAAATCACAATTTCAGTGTAATGCTGAATAATTAATAGTCAATTAACGCTCATTAAGGTGAAGTGGCAAATTCAAAACTGACAGAGCATGCTATTAGGTTGAAGAAGTCACCACTAGAAGATGTCATTGATACTAATAAATCAGCAAGATTCAAGGAGAGACCAGAGTCCTATATGGATAGGCATGTCCAGAGCCCTACAGTCTGGGCAAAGATGCTAACAAAGATTTAAGCCACTCCCTGAGTATTAGAATGACATCTTCGGGGAATAATCAAGGGGAATAGACTTTTGCACATCTGCCTGCCACTGCATCTCGCACATCCTCTTCTGCAGTGTCCAGAGCTGGCTGCTGCTAGAGATGGGAAATGGAGCCAGCAGGACCACAGTTCTGATACTGCTCGAGAACCCCTACATACTTCACGAAAAACAATCTTCCAACAACATGCCTATAGCTAGGAAAGAATCAGCTTTCAGAGGGCTTGTCTGCAGAGCGATTTATTTACATCGGAACTAAAAATGGCTTCACTAAGAGCTCCAGCTTCGCTCTTCCTACACTTCAGGAAAGCTCGGAGCAGGGAGAACGCAAGGGGCAGCCGCGTATTCTGTCATGGAGCAAACTAAAAGTTTGGCTCTAAGTGGCTCCAGACTCTGCAAAAATTCAGATCCCAGTCTACGCTCTAACTTTATACCTCATCCTTGTCTAGGCTACCTCACTGGACTTGGCACCTTCAGGTTTTTCAAAAAGCAGAGGTGGGGAAGCCTTTCGGTTTCCATTTCAGTGGGTCTTCTGCAGTATTTGATCTGTGTAACATTTTGGGAAACAGTTCACTGAAGCCTCGAATTGCACTCCGATTAAGCTTTGCCAAACCCCTCAAGCACCTCTGTTATGTTATTACTGAAGTTTTGCACAGCTCATCGGAAAGCCACGGATCCAAATCTCACACCTTCCCAATTCCTCACCGCCACTCGACATTGCACAGTGCGGTTCTGTCAGAGGTGCCTTTCTTCTAAAGCAGCATTCGTTTCTACCTACGTATAGAACCTGTGCCAAGCGCCTGTTAAAAAGCCTATGGCAGAATGAGCAACATCTGGCTATAACTCCCGTGGTCTGGTTAAAACCACTTGTCTCAAGTGGGGATTGCTTTGGAGCGCGCAGCGGCTGCTCCTGGCCTGCAGCAGGAGGACGTTGGCCGGGAGTTGCCTAGATCCTGACCCAGCTTTTGTCAGGCACCTCGAGCAAGACAGCAGCTATGCAAAAAGCACATTCCATTCTATTTAAGCACATTTCAAAGCTTCCAGCATGTGCATGTTTCCTCTTATTTCATCAAAGACTTGAATTTCTTTTTGGTGACATAATTTGTCAACACATTCAGTTTATAACAGAAAGAAAAGAGGCTGATCAAAGAATATCAGGTAGCTCTTATTTACTGTGTGATAGCAAACCAAATTGCTGCTATAGCATTGTATTAGCAGCTCTGTATTCTGTGCTTTTGTCAGCATTTCAGCTGCAACACAGATTTCGACCTAGAATAGACAATTTGGTAGCAGGAGAGGCTTTCCACCCCAACCCTCCCCCCGCCCCAAACAAAGCTCAGTGCCAAAGTCAGGATGCAGAAAACTTTCTTATAGCTAGTGATGAACCCCAGACAAAACGCTGGATTTGTACCTGATGCGAAGAGGCCGGCGAGTGATGCACACAGTGGTGTAACCACGAGACAATGGTGCAGGCTCTGCGGATGCTCACCGTGGATTCCTCTCCTTCTTAAAAAGGTGAGGGAGAAAACGATTGAAAATGTAAGAGCAAGAAGTGAATTGCAACGGCTGCTGAAATTTGAATCTAAACCCCAATTTGCAGTAAACCCTGTGCTGTTTATGGTCATCACTTCATTCAGCGGAATAGATCCATAACCTTTCTGACCCAAATTGACACTGTCTGCTCTTCTTCCTCGTTTGTCCTTTTGGGGTGTTAACTCCCTCTTGCAGGCAGAGCTATGAATGATGGCTGTCACAGGAAGATATTCATATCCTGTAAACACCTGCACGTCCAGGAAGTCTCTTATACATTTCTAAAGAGGAGCTCTCACTCTCCCCAACAACGCGTGCAGCGAGAGACGGCTCAGCTCCCTGTACACGCGAAGCGCATCTCAAGGCTGACGGAGTTGTATTTACCTCTTTCTGGAGCAGGGGGAAGACGCTGAGCACGGTACGCTGTGCAGGCATCTAACAACCCCTGTGCTCCACATATGCCTGCAGAGTGGCAAACACTCACAGCCTCCTTAAGTCAGGAAGTTTCAGATATTAAAAGATTGCTTTGCAGACATTGCTACCTTCGTCTCATTTTCTAACAAACAGCATCCCCAGGTTTCTTTCTTGATTTGGCGGTCAAGGGGTCAAAGAGCATCTTCCACACTGATAACCTGGACATACTATGCCTATGTTTTTAAACCATTCATAACACCTATGATTTTATGCATTTAATGAATTCTTGAATACCTGCCATAAGTCATCTCACCAAACTTCATTGAAAGCAATTAGATTTAAGGTTTAGAAGCTCTTATTACCAGGGAGCAACAAGAGCCAGCCGTTCCCTAAGGGGTGGAGAGCCAGGGCAGGGTCTCACCGCCCAGGGCCCCATCCCACCACTCCCAAACAAAGCAACTGGAGCAGCCCCAGAGACTGGGGCCCCAGCTTCAGCCAGGAGGCCAGGTCAGCAGGCAAACTCACAGCAGAGCTGAGGTCAAGCAGGGAAGTCAGTCCACAGCTCAGGGACCAGATCAACAGGGCCCATGGCCAGGCACAGCCACAGCTGAGCTGGAGAGCAGCACTCCTCCAGCACAGCTCGAGGAAGGACTCAAGGCCCCGAGCTGAGCTTAAATGGGCTCCTGGGTCCATGGGAGAGGCCCCAGGTGACCCCAATCAGGGCCGTGAAGGCCTATTAGCGCACTCAGGGCCCGGGCAGTTGGATCTATTACAGTGAAAAAAATCACTTTCCTTAATCAGGAATAAAGTATATATGACAGTATATATACTATGCTTCAAATTACAATAAATCCTGCCTAGTCAGGATTAGCAATGTATTATAAGACTCTGCTTCTAGTTCTCCATATGGACTGTAGATAATCCCTAACAGTTAAGGTATCTGTGAAGAAAATAGAGCTATATTACCATCATGAGACTAGACCACTTTTTTGCTTATGGCTAGATCAAAGGCAAGGTCATTTTCTTCAAAGGCGAGCAGAAGAGTCTTTTTACAGAGAAATCCACACCCCAACTCCCAAGCATATGTGAAAGGGAGGGTGTTGCAACTTGTGACTTAAATGACTTGAAATAAATCAGATGTTAGACCATATGGGTTTAGGACTTTTTGAAACTGTAAACTTTTTTCTTTACACATAAAGCTAATGGTTCATCTGATGATTCAGCTGTGTGCTAAGGAGCTGCAAACCGGGAGAGCTGAAGTTATATGGGTGGAGTCCCACAGAGAGTGATGGCAGGAGAAAACACAGGCTGATTAAGTTGCAAAAAAAGCTTTGCTGTGTCTGACCTAACAGTAGCTTCAGAGATATCATATAAAGGGCTAAGGGCAAAGTTTGCCCTATTGGGAGGCATCCTGTCAGCTGAATATAAAACGGAGGGTAATATCTGAACTGTATAGAAAACTATAGACTGCTTCCGCTCTTGCCTTTAATTCGGATGAGCAGCCCGGACAGGTGAGCGGTCTCAGAGTCCCTAGGGCCATTTTTGACTTGTACACTGTGTATTGGTCATATATCTTTCTGTTTATCTCTGACGTTTCTACAGTGCCCATCTTTCTTCCCCCATATTCTCACATCAGCTCTATGTTACAAACAGGATGATTATTCATTCTCCACAGCCCTGTTCGTTTTCCATTCAGACCTGCTATTTTTGGTGGTCCTCTTTTGGGTAGGTTGGTAATAGACAGTCTAGCACCACAGACTTCCAAAAAAACCGGTCGTATGGCCTTATCTGATCTAAGCTGGCAGTGTTCAGCGGAGCCTTGGCGACTCAACTGAGGAACTTGAGGGCAAGTGGAAAGGAAGGTGTGAAAGGGGAAATGCTGGCTTAACACAGAACCAAACTGTGATGCACCAGCAGAATGAAACTAATAGCACCGAGAAACTTCTCAAAGAGGCAGAGGAAGCCAGAATTTTGCAGCTTTCATTATATCTAGTATTAGGGAAAGAATCTTTCTTCATAGGAAAATAATGTTCGTATTTTGACCAGAAACTATGTGGCCTAACTTTGGCGAAATGTTATGGTATCAAATGACCACTAAGCAGAATAAAAAGTGATAGCTGCAATTGAACATGACCAGAAGTTGGCTATTCTAATAAGAAAAAATATACCCGTTGTGAGTGTTACAACACTACCGACATGCATATATAAAAAGTAGGCTTAGACTTTTCGCAGTTTTGTGACTGTAAAGGTGTGTAGTCCAATAGTCCAACATCTCAGCTCTCATCAGTAAAACTGCACATACAGCATATCCAAATATAAAGGTAATACATTACATGGAATGTTTTGGTCAAAATATCTTGCCCTTAGTTTGTTGGAGGAGCAACAGAAGCAAATAAAAATGATCTCTGCATTTCAATCTTCCACTGCATTTTGCACTTTGTATTAATACTTCTCACTGCTTTTCCAATGAGCATAGTGGAAATCTTTACCTTAATCCCCAGGCGTTCTACAAGCCTTACTGAGTTCGAGTGAATGTTTAAATCGTGTGTTGTACTGCAACTACCACTGCAGTACATTCAACAAAAAAATCAGACATTAAAAAAGCCTGTACTGTAAATATTTGAGGAAGTACAAGGTGGAAGTATAGTGAATACTTTGGCAATATATCATCCCATAGCGTACATTATTTTGGCAACAGAATAACGTTCCATAATGGAGACAAATAAACCTGACTCTTTAGAAAGAAAATGGCCATATACTACAAATTGGCTAGGTTTAACATCCAGTATCATTTTTAACACTGAGCTAAGCTAGCCAGGAAGGAATTACTGGACAAACCATCTCTTTGACATACCTGCTATTTTCAGTGAAGTCAGCTATCTTAACTCTTCAGCGATGCTCTCACCAGTAGAGACAAACTGAATTGCCTGATATTGGTTTAGAATGGGATTCATCTTATTTAATGTTATCTGCCTAACTGTTAGTCAGCTTGTGGTTTAGGATCCCTCAGCAGTCACTGGAGAGAGACAGGCAGTTCCATGGTGTGATTCATCTCACCTATCTGAGACACTTATCTGGAGAGGGAATGAATTGTCCTCTGGACAGGCTTACGCTGGATCACCATGTGCGATGACCTCCAACTGCGAGTTTTTTGAGAAGACCTTAAAAAAAAAAGGCTCCTGTGATGTCTTTCCTCCAAGCAAAGAATTTCTCCATCTGCTTTGTAGTATGTAGCAAATCTGCTGGCTGCTGCCCTTCACAGCAGAGGTCACTGTATCTCAGCAGTGCTCTCTTTTTTGAACACATTGGGATGAAAATTACTGTACAGCTGTGAGATATTATTATAAATGTAACATAATATCTACATTTCTTTCCATTAACTCCTTTATTCCAGATAAATGAATTGTTAAACGCAGAGATGGTGATCTCTGAGGGTGGTCTGTTTTTTCAGCACGCTAGTGTGGGAACAATTGTGCTTTGCTCTCCAGGAAAGTTTATTAAATGCAAAGCATCTGATTCATTCTGCTGTCACAACCCTGCTAACAGGACAGAGCTGCAGCGAGTCTATCGGGGAAAGGATGTATCAGTAACAGCTGCCTGCAGCAAGGCCTTGTAGTGCTGTTGGCAGTACTGGGTAGGAAAGAGGCTACAGGGCAAGGCTGTTCTCGCAAGGAAAGGTGCTGATTCAGCACTGAGCAGCCACCCGCAAGACCGCTACAAAGCAAAGGTTCAGGAACAGCAGAAGCCTTTGGAGAGTACGCTTTGACTGTAGCTGTTCAGCTCAGTATATCTATAAGGCTTAGCTGGAAAGACAAATAAAACCTTAACAGCAGGGCAAAACGGAGTAAAACTTTTGTCATCAGGGGTTATGCACCTGTGTTGTTGCAGAAGTTCGCAGGAGGAGACAGCGCAGGTTACCGGTAAGGAAGAAGGCAGTTTGTCATTTCCAGGATATGGCTTTGGATTTCAGCTAGTGCCTTGATGATCAAACATAGCTCTTCCCTAGTGAGTTCGTAATGGGAAAATGTCTTATTACTTCCACCTCTCCTCATATTCACTGACAGTAAAGATGCAAATATTTTGTCACCTAAGAGGTGATCCAAGCCCCCTGATATTAGTTCTAGAGCAGTATGAAAAAGCTTGCAGCTGTGAATGCTTCACAAATACTACTGTTTGTCCTGTGTTTTATGTGTTACGTTGGATCCTTAAGCTTAGAAGGATGGTTCAGATGGGTAATAGTCAATTTTAGTTTTTCTCTAGACTATTTTTAAAGGAAATTGTAAAAGAATGGAAAATGTTATACAGTGACAAAGAGTGAAATATCACCAGTGTCAAAAGCCTTACTGAAGTCAATATATTTGACATCTACTGTTTTTCCTCTAGCCACATGGTCTGTTACTCTCTAGAATGAAATTAGATTAGTTTGACATGATTCGTTCTTGACAAATCTCTATTGGCTGTTGCTCATCTTATTATTATTTTCCAGGTATGTGAGTATTTGTTCCATCATTTTTCTGGATATTGAGTTGGCTGTTGTACAATTCTCCAGCTTCTTTTCCGCTCACCTCTCCCACCTTGCAAAGATAAGCAATACATCTGTCTTTTACAGTCTTCTGGTATCACACCAGCCCTTCCACGAATCAGAGAGATACCACTAATAGTTCTGAGATTAGCCAGTTTTCCAAACACTGTAGGATTAAGTCAGCCACAGCCAATTTAGAAACCTCTAACTTATCTAAGCATTCTTTAACTTGTTTCTTCCCTAATCTAGGCTGACATGGTACTTTTTTTTAGTATTAACTGTGGTAGGCACTTACTCATAGATTGCTTTTTACTGAAGACTGGTGGAAAAAGGCAGTAAGTGTTCTTATGTTCATTGATCAGGAGTTTTTCTTCTACCAAGCACTGGGCAAATCTTTCAGTTGCTATCTCTCCTATTATTAATAGGAGAGGACTTAAGAATTATTTCTTGTCATCCTTGATCTCTCTTGCTAGCTGCATTTAGTTTTCTACCTTTCCCAATCTGACTTTTCCCTTATTTACCTGAGCTATTCTTTTATGATAATCCTCAGTAATCTTATACGGTATCCAGTTTATATAGTTCTTTCCTCTGATGTCAGGAAAGAATATGATTTAGTAAATCAACAACCTGTACTTTCTTTGCCTTTGGGTAGTTTGCATTTTTGCCTTTTCTCTCCAATGAGAATCTATCAGTTCTCCGAGTTTATTGAAGTCAGCCATTTTGAAGGTCGTTTTGTTGTTCTTCCTCTTCCCCTTTCTAAGGACCATGAATGCTGTCGTTTCATTGACAGTGCCGCCAAGTTGGTTTCCACAGTCATATTTTCAGCCCCTTTCTTCTCACGAGGATAAGAGCCTTTCCTCTAGTTCTTTTGTTCCTCTTCCATACCCAACATTTTTCTAAAAGTCCTAGAGAAGGTTTTTAGAACAGTTAGTGGCATTCTTTTTAACAGCCTACATCTCCTGTTATCTTCTGCTTTTGTCTTTAGATGACTCCTCCAGTCAGTGACAAAAAGCATCAACCATCTGTTCTTCCTGGGGGACAGTCTGTAGTAGACTCC